ATAAATTAGAAATAATTAAGGCCCTAGTTTAGATCCCTGTGGAACTCCACAAGTTATATTTAGATAATCTTGTGAAGAAGATCCGTCAACATAGACAAATTGTTTGGGATGTTTTAAATACCTTTTTAGTAGTTTTAAAACATTACCGGCGATACCATAATGTTCAAGTTTTTTAGACAGTATTTCATGGTAAATTATCTCAAAAGCCTTAGATAAGTCTATAAAGACGCCTTAAGTAAAACCTGACTTTTCGAATGAATCAGTTATACTACGAGTAAGATGAATTATTGCATGTTCAGTTGAGTTATTTCTTTTAAAACCGTATTGATTTATGTAAAGTATATTATTAACAGCAAGATGATTAAATATTTGGTTGAACATAAATCTTTCTAAAATTTTTTGAAAAAACAGAGATGGTAGATTTTGGTCGATAATTACTGACATTTAAAGGTTCACCTCCTTTATAGGTGTTATTTTGGCTATATTTAATTGATCGGTGAAATTTTCTTGATTTATAGAACATTTAAAAACTTTAAAAAGAATATCTTTTATGATATCGTATGAATCTATGACCAAGACCGGCGCGATAGGGGTGTGTAGGGGTGTGTGACCCCCCCCCCCATCAATGATTTTTAGTCGGCAAACTGGACCCTAAGTCGGCAAATTGGACCGGTTTAGACTAGTCAGTCGGCAAATGTCGACCCTTTCGATATAGGTTAGACAGTCGGTAAATGTCGTCATGACAGTCGACAAATTTTGGAAAACGAGGACCTTTTTTTTTTTTTTTTTTTTTTGTATTGCCCCCCCCCCCCCCCGCCACGTGACACCTACTCGCGCCGGCCCTGTCTATGACTATATTACAATTTATACCATCAGGACCAACTGCTTTATTAGTTTTAAGCATTTTAAAAGCACTTTCAAATTCTGAAAAAGATACTTCAAATTTATTTAAACTAGAGATTAATGGAAACACGTAATTATTTATTGGATTAATCATATTTGGAACATTTTTAGCTAAATTTTGGCCAACAGACACGAAATACTTATTTAATTCTCTTGCTATTTGTTTGGGTTCATATAAAAATACGCCTTCAACTTTTATAGTGTAAGGCACAGAGCATAATTTTAATTTACTATTTCCAGTAATTTGGTTTATAATTTGCCATGTACGTTTTGAATTATGTTTATATTTTTCTAGTAAATAATAGCAATATCGTTTTTTAATTTTTTCTTTGACTTTCAAACATTTTAGCATAATTTTTATAAATAATTTTATTTTCTGGTGTTGGTTTTTTTAAGTACTTAAATACAGTTTTTTAAGTACTATATACAGTTTTTGCTTTATTTTTGAGGATTTCCTAAGATCTTTATTGACCCATGGTGATTTTAAACTTTTATTGGTTATAATAAATTCACGTTTTGGAAAATTTACATCATATATTTCATAGAAAGTTTGAAAGAACGTATCGTATACTTCATTAGCTTCAAATGAACTTTTTATATGATTCCAATTTATTAAAGATAATTGATCCTTAAACGATGCTAGATTTGCATCGGTGAAAAAGCGTTTGATAATGACTTTTATATGTTGTTGTATTAATTTGTTGTCAATATTAATAGAGAAAAAAATAGGGAAGTGGTCGGAAACGTCACTTTTTATTATACCTTTTTTAAGAGTTTCCCAGCCGGCACAACTCAGAAAATAGTTACGCTTGGTTTCTGTTGCGTTTTTAAAACCTTCTAAAACAAAAAGAATAACACGTATCAAAAATGGTTTTTATTCCGTGAAATTAACTATTACTATTTACCATAGGTATTGTGGTTTATCCTCCTCCAGCTAATTGCCATAAGGAGGCCACATTACTAAGGACCGCAAAGACAAGTTCAGCTAATAAATAGCGTCATTACCTGCTCTACGGACCAAGAGTAAAGTGAGTTTAGGAAGAACGAAGAATGTTAGAGTAAAGGACAGAAGAAGTCGTGTTAGAAAGATAGCATACAGAAAGCGGACAGGATTGTCTAGTTATATATTATATGTAAACAATATTATGACATAAAGAACTATTTACCTATTATACATACTATTTACATAGATTACTATTTACCATAAATACCAGTTAAAGTATTAATGGTTTCACCGTTATGGAAACGTAGTATTATATTGTAATACCTTTCCGTAAGGAATGTGAAACCACTGATAAACCCATGCGACATTTAAATTTGACTTTAAAACCTCAAAAAACACGTGTTAAACTCTAGTCAAACTGCCCGTAATATACACGTGCTTTTGGTTTACGCCTGGATCGTGAAAAACACGTGCCTATATAGGTTTTATTTCCGAAAAAGAAACTAGATGTGCCGGTAGGGTTCATTAAAGATATCGGTTGTTATAATGCTGTCAATTATAGTAGCTGAAGTTGAGGTTACTCTAGTAGGTTAGCTAATTAGTGGAATTGCTCCATGTTCGAATAAGTTATCGTAAAACTTTTTAATGTTGCTATTAACGTGATATTCAAAACAATTTAAATTCACGTCACCAATTAGATAATTTGGTTTCTTTTCCTTAAAACTATTTTTTTTAATATTATTACACAAAAATGCAATAAAACTTTCAATAAGGCCAGATGGTGGGCGATAACAGCAGCTTATAAGTATGTTTTTAGAATTATTGGTTAAAAGTTCAATTGTTAAAATTTCTTTATTGTCATCAGAAATACTCATCTCAGGCCTAATATAAAACCTCAAATTTTACGTTATATAAAAAAGTACGCCACCTCCACGTTTATTTGGTTTACGCGCTAGTGGAATCATATTAAAACCTGAAGATAGAGATTTAAATGAGGTTTAGCGTCATCAAATTCACACCACGTTTCAGTTAAGCAAATTATACTAAATGTATTTGTAGTTTCCACACAAATTTTCGAAAGACTTTTAATGTTAAAATGAATAACATTTAAATGATCCCGAGAAAGAAATTCTTTTATTTTTTTTGTTATAGAAGTAGGAACAATTGTTTCGCAAAGCTCCCACATCACTAAAATAGTTTAAATCCGGATCTGAACTAGTGTCAAGCACCAAGTCGTTAGATTGAAAAATGTTAAATGATAGCGATTCAAAATTGTTTTGATAATTTTAGAATCCATTTTTAAAATTTAAATAACTAGAAATAAAAGAACTCATTTAAAAATCGCGCGTAATAAGTTTGTTGTAAATAACTTTAGCAAATTTACCTTTGGCTCTTAATTCCTTTGCTTCTTTAAACAACTTTTTCCTCATTTCCGTTGTTCTTTCGCTAAAATCTTCATTAGCATACAGTTTTTCATTCCAAAGTTTTAGTTTGAGAAATTTTTCAAATACTGCGTTTCTTTCTTTGTAATTAAGAAACTTTTCTATTATTGTTCTGTTCTTTTTAACTCCTTTTTCGTTTCTTCCTGTTCGATGTGCCCTTTCAATCTCTAAATCATTAGTAAAACCAAACTTGGATTTTAAGATTTCTTGAATTTTTCTCTCGCTATCTTCCCATGATCCTCTTCTCGCTTTCTTCGACTCCATTAAACCTAAGATTATTCCTACGACTTCGATCTTGAAGTTCAGATCTTGAAGTTGCTTGTCTTTCATATCATTGTTTTTGTCATTAAACTTCATGTTATCTGTTAGTTCGACATTTGGAATTGCGTGTTTTTTCAGTTCTTTTAATTCAGCTAGAGTTGTTTCATATTTCTCACTTACAAAGTCGACTGCCTTTCTTAATTCCATCATTTCATTTTTAAGATTTTTATTTTCTTCTCGTATATTATTAAGTTTAATTTCCATTTTATCGAATTTATCATTAAAAAGTTTTATTAATGTGTTTTCATGCATCTCTAGAAAATCCTTTATACTGGTTGCTGAAAATTTCGCCATTTTTTTTTTTCTTTGAAAAAAAAAATACGTCCGTTTACGACCGCGGTTGACGAGTTATTGATGAAACGTTGTTTTTATATCATTATGGTTACAAATGCGACGTCGCCAAATATCACTCACGATTAGACATTTTTTTAGCTTGCATACATGTTCCAAAAAAAAAAAAATTTGAAATTTGAACACCCCTAACTCACACTGATTTTTAAGAGCGACTATGTCCTGATATGCGTATGACAAAAGTAATACTTGCAAACAATATTTTGGGTATATGGCGCGTATATCTTTTTAAATGGATAACATACGATTGTTTGTTGTTTTGCGTTTAAGCACATGGAGCAAAGGCAATAAAAAAGTTTAATTTTTATTTATAAATTTATTTTATTTATAAACACCACTATTTTATTTTATTTATAAACACCACTATTTTATTTTATTTATAAACACCACTATTTTATTTTATTTATAAACACCACTATTTTATTTTATTTATAAACACATTTTTATTTTATTTATTTTATTTTATTTATAAACTATTTATTATTTTATTTATAAACTATAAAGTTTATAAACTATAGACTATTTTAATAACTTTGAACTATAAACTATATTTATAAACTATAAAGTTTATTTATAAACTATTTATAAACTATTTTATTTATAAACTATTTATAAATAAATTTATCTTATTTATAAACACAAATTATAAAACTATTAATAAAATACCACAGCAGCAAAATAATATTACAAAAAGAATAAACTTATATAGCTTATGTAACCCGAAAAAATAACCTAGGCTTAATGCCTTTAAATAATCTTTAAATCTTTAAATTTATTCATTTAAAAAGATATACGGGCTATGTACCCAAAACGTTATTTTCAAGTATTACAATAGTAATACTTGAAAATAACGTTTTGGGTACATAGCCCGTATAGCAGATGACAATAGACATAGCAGATGACAATAGTCATCTGCTCTTTTGACTTTTGAACTGTCCGAGGAATAACGTAACAACATGACTTTTTAAAGCCAAATCTTTCCGATGCCGTTGAAATGTTCATCCTTAAATATAAAAAATTATTTGCGCGGCATCAATAAAATAACTTTTTTATTTTAAATGTTATGGAACCGTATGAGGTTCTAAATGATAATACTGCAAAAAACCAAACAATTAAAAAAGATAGTTCAAAATTTGGAAATTTAGAAACTTATTACTTTGTAAATGATGATGGTTTAAAAGGAAATATTGACACAAGTTTACTTGATGATAAAAGTGATCAAGATATATATTTTCTCAAGCGTACTAAAAAGAAAAGATCACAAGAAACCTTACTGTCAAAGTATTTTTTAAGTAATTTTTTAAAAATACATTAGAATGATTACTAATATTGTACTCATGTTTAATCTTGAAAAAATTCTGAAGAATATTTTTTCACCAAAAAATTTTCAGTCTATCAAATTTGCAGTGTGCTGGTTTATCAGAAATCTCTTTTTTAATAAATAGTGTAGTGACATTTAAACAAAATTTTCTCGTTATACTTTTTTTTAAATCACTTGGAAATTACTTTGAAGTAGTATAAGAATTTTAGATTTTCTTTATTTGTTCCTTCAATAGAGAAGCATAGTGCCCATACCAAATCTACTAGGCTGTTCATAAAGAGATTGTGTGTTCAAGCTTTTGATACAAAATTTATGGTAGATTCTTTTAAAAACTCTTCAATTGGAGCCTGGAATTTCCTCTAAAAAAGTTTAATACTCCTCAGTATTGTGAACTAAATAAAAAAAGTTTTAAAAACAAACTAAAATTCTTCTTAAATTAGGGACAATTGTCTATAATTAAGTGAATTTAATTACATAACTAGAGGTTATTTACATCTATTATGATATGTATATATTATAATAAAACTAACTTTCCATTGGTGTTATTATAATATATACATACATGTATATATATTCTGTTCTGTTTTTTACTTTGTTTTTGGTTTGTTTTCATTTTTTTTTCTTATTTCTTTTTTTTTTCAACTTTAATTTTTTGTCTTTTTCTTTTATGAGCTTCTATTATATACAAGGTCACTCTCCTCTTTTTGGCCAAGCTATATAAGAGTGAACCTTCCAGTTTGTATCATGTTTTTTAGTTCTTTCATATGATATTTACTGGTAAATATATTGCTGTTGTTGTTGTTGTTGTTGTTGTTGTTGTTGTTGTTGTTGTTGTTTTTATTGTTGTTGCTTATAATGTAGTGCTTATAATGTAAGTTGTGTTAAAAACCAATAGTTTAGTCCATTTAGTAGTATATCAAGTTGTTCTACATAAATAACCAGTTTTTTAGGCTATTTTTTTGCTCTATATTAAATATATTATTTAAATTTCAAAAAAAATATTTATTACCACACCAAGATATTTCATTTTTCACAGAGTTCAAGTACTTTCCATTAAAATGCTCAAGCTTGAGTTGATCGCATTTTTGTTTTCTTAGATAGTGTAATAAGGATTAACATTGAATTATTCTGATTTAATTAAAGACCATTTTGACTTGATGACTTTGTTAGCTTCTCTGATTCTTTCTAAAATTTATTCAGTGTTTTAATGTAGCTTTCTTCTATGCATACTTAAGAGTTTTCTAGGGTTTCTGAACACTGTTTAACAGTAAAAGTAAAACAGCTGTTTTTTAAGAAAAATCAAAAGCAGCAAACAGCTGTTTTTTAAATGACTGTGTTTACTGTTTTTTTCAATTTTCTTGAATTAAAGTTAAAGCGACTAAAAAATAAAATCCTAAACCTTTTTTATATGTTCGCTGTAATGAATAGGTACTATTTCCATGTTATAATGAGTTTTAACAGCATAAAGATTCATTCAAAGCTTAAAATGTTTAAATTTTTTTATTCAAACCTTTTCAGATAAAAGTTTTAAACAAGGTTTACTTTTATATGTCATATAGTTTAGATTGTCCTTGGTTTAAAATTTAAAAAAAATATATATCAAAATTGCTAATATAAAAGATTCTTTAACAAAATGTTTATCAAAAAAATTTGACTTTCATTTTAAATTTTGTATATAAAATAATTTAACATATAGTTTTTGGATAAGTAACTTTAATAAATAACTTTAGTTTAGTAGTCAGCACTTTTTTTATTAAAAAAAAAACTGAGCAAAAAGGTTAGTACTAGGTTAGCACATATTAGGGAATTTCTTATTTTAATTGTTCTTTTTTACTGATCTAGTACTAAAATTTTCTTGAAAGTTTATTAATTTATAAATAGAGTTTCTAGAACAAGTTTCTTATTTACATTAACTTAAAAATAATTGTGTAGTTACCAATTATGAACTGTTTTTTTGATGGTGGGTAAATTTGAAGTATTTAAACTCCCCTCTAACGAAGGTGATGTAATGAAACTTCTGTACAAAGATTTTTATGAAAAGAAAAAAAAAAAGATTGACACCATTAAATTAAAGGTAGACAATAAAGGAAAGTTTAGCATGACTATTGATAAGGTTACTACGTTATAAGTACAAAGATATTTTGTTAATATTTAAGATAAAATGTTTAAAGCAAGATTAATTTGAATTTTGAGATTAAAGATTTAAGCAACACCTTAATAGATTATGATAAAAATGAATATAGTTTTTTTGATGGTGGAACTAATTATGAAGTTATAAATGATGAGTATGAAGATGATAATGACTACATAAATTACAAGTGATTTGGATATTACTCATAAATTACAAGTGATGAGGATATTACTCATAAATTTGTAATTTATGAGTAAGACTTGTCACCAGATTTAAATGGTTCAGCCTGATCTAAAATTATATACAGGACAGGATTTAAATCCTTCTTTTTGATTTTTTTCTTTTTTGCCAATTTTTTCAATTTTTTGCCAACCTCAAACACTTTTAGGTCGACATTGCCGAATGCCGACCCTAATTCCGAGGGTGTACACACAACCCTCAGAATTAGGAAAAATGTATATATATATGTATGTATGTATATATATGTATATATATGTATATATATATATATATATATATATATATATATATATATATATATATATATATATATATATATATATATATATATATAAAGAGAGATTTAAATATTGCTAAAAATTGATTTAATATTATAAAAATACATATTATAATTAGTTTTAGGTAATTATTTAGAGGCATTATTTTAGGCTTGTACAGCGTTTTCGTGAGCAACCACCACAACCCAAAAATGAGCGCTTAAAAGATATTGAACATTTCTGGTGGCTTTCTTCTCCTGATGATTCTATAAAAGAATTGTTTCAAAATTGTGATAACTCTCTTATTTCATCTGATGTAAATAAAAGATCTTTTGAAAAGGTAATATGTTTTTAAATTGAAGTTTGTTTTATTTCAATTTTATAAATCATTAATCTGTTGTAATTATTTGTGAAGTATTAATTCATATACATTTTATCAAAACATTTTTCTTTTTTTCTTTTAACGTTTTGTAATTTAAAAAGAATTAAAGAATTGAAACAGTTAAAAATATAGCAAAATTATATAAATATATAAATAAAAATATAATTACAAATCATTATTTTATCTAAACAATTATTACAAGTGGTTAAAGTTACCAAATTACACAGTTTTGTCGATTTAATAATCAGAAGTAAATGGTCATATGTATTTGTAAGAAAGATATCTGATTTTAGTGGTGTACTCGGTCACCAGGAAGAGTGGCTAAAAGTAATCATTTAGCTAATGTTGGTTGCCCCCTGAAATTTTGAGTTTAAATTTAGTCCATGGCCATTTTTTTTAGTTAGTTTTTCATATGAAAAAACTTTAACAAAAAAATTTTGACATAGAATAAAGCTACCATAAACCGGACACTCTTCACAAAAAGCTGAATAAATTTTTTTGAATAAAGATTTACTTTAAAAAAAGTTATTTTTTTTGATTAGAGCAATTATGCAGTGTAAAACAATTTTTTAAAAAGTTTTATGTTTTAATTGAAAATAAGATTTTATTTTTTTAAAAAAGTGTCTGCTTTTAAGAAAATTATTCCTATAGGCAGACAGTTGCAAAATATTTGAAAAAAAATTATATAAGTTGTTAAATTCAAAGTTTTTTTTACAGTTTTAAATTATATGCAAGAAAAGGTCATTTCACAACTTTTTACAATAACTGCTTAGGCCATATGAATTTTAAATCTTTTTATAAAATGAAAAGCAAAAAAAAAACAAAAAAACATTTTTATATTTAGGTTTGTAAATTTTGATCTCTAAAAATAAGGTTTTAGTAAAAAACGTGGTATATGCGGTTTGCTGAAACTTTTGACTGGTTATTCTGATTAACTTGAAAACATCTTCAATCGTATTTTTGATTTCAAGAACCCTGAATTAAACACCTAGATAGTCATTTTAGTTTTAAAAACTCATAACTTCAAAAGTTTACAAAGATTATTATTTTTGCTATATTTTTCTGTACTATCTTGCGTTGTTACAAAAAGTTTTTTTGGTTGGTATAAATAAAATAATTAAACTACGGAAAAAATGCTATAGATAATAACCCTGAGATCATTTCTAAGTTAAACTCTTTTCTGGATAAGCTATTTGATATGGCAAAGTGTATTGTTTCTTGTGAGGAGGCAAGATGTATATCTTGTATTTTCAAAGCTAGTGTTTCTTGTCAATGCAAGAGGGGGAGAAAATATTCCCATAATAAAACTTCAGTTTATGAAGTCAAAGAGAAAAATTTGGAACAAAAAGTAGTATGTAAATGGATGCTCGAGATTTCAAGGAAGCCAGCAGATATGAAAATATAATAAATGAAAGAAAAATGGAAAAAAGAAGTCACAAATAGAATACCTATGTTTTTATCCTTAAGAAAACAATTTTAAAGTACCAATTAATAATATTAAGAATACTGACAATGAAGATGCTGTTTCCAAAGATAATTTTGAGTACACAAGTAGAACAGTTTCTAAAAACTCATTAAATATGGAAAAAGTTGCATTAGTATCATCAAGTGGTATCAAATAGAGCAACTGCTGCAATTTTAACATTAACACTGAAAGCAGCTAAAGAGGCAGACTTTCTTAAAAAGAATCCGACTGACAGTGAAATAGTGACAGATAATAAGAAAATTGAATTTTCTAAATTGAAGATGATAAAACTATTAAAATCTGAAAATGATATTATTGTTAAAAAATATAAAGTTCTATGTGTAATGTTTGATGTAAGAAAGAATAAGACAAAATTTTCTTTGATGGAGATGAAGAATTTTACAGCAGAGTTTACAAGAAGTTCATTATTTTATTTGCACAAACCCAGGTGGTTTGTGCAAATAAAATCTGTTTCATTTTATAAATGACAAAAATAATAGATCCGAGTTTTTTACCCCAGCAGAGCACATAGCAAAAAAATATATAAATAGATTATAGAAGGTTTGATAGAATCAACTCTGGTTGCTGTTAGCTGTGATTCTACCAATCTTAATGCTGATAAATGATAAAGAATAAAGACAGGTAAATATATGATGAAAAATGCCATGCATATATTTCAACAATTATTTTTTAGGCTGGAAAAGAGGTATCATTTATTTTTTAGAAAAAAACTTTAAACCAAACTTATTTGGACAGTTTGTGCCTTCCACAAAAATGAGTTACCTTTGAGGCACTTAAATTTGGTTATTGACAGGAAAATATTTTCAAGCAACAAGTTTTCTGGCAATATTGATAAAACTGTCCCTATTGCCAATGATTTTAAAATTAAGATATTAAAATTAATTTAATAGATATTGATAAAAATACTTTAAAAACTTTGTCTTGTGATCAAAGTTCTATATGCTGAAAAATAAAAGCTATAAAAAATAAAATTTAAACAATTTAAAAGAAATTCAAGTTGTTCCCCGCAAATAATAAGCTGGTTAAAACTTAGCAAGTAGACATGCAGAATCTAGTGTTAACAGCATGGACTAAATGGAAGCAATGTTGAAAATTTGAAACACTTGATACAGTTCTGTGTAGGTGAATATTTTGTATTATGGTTTGAAATAAAGGTATGAAAATTTTATATTCAGTTTAATAATTATTTTTTCATGTGTATGAAAAATTTATTAATAAAAAATGTTCATTTAAAATATAAATAGACACAAACTTAAATATTCATCAAACATTTTTGCCCTGTTTTTTGCTCTGCCTGGAATGCTCACAGTGAATGCTCAAGCAAAACCATTTAGCAAAGATAAATAGGAGAGAATGTTCGTATTGACAAGACAATACTTTCAATAAAAAATTTATGTTCTTTAAAAAGTATTGCTGTTAAGATCAAGAAAAATTCTGAAAATTAACACCAATGGTGTAACTAATATGGAGTTGACCTTTGCTCACATGCAAGATTGGTAAATAAGAACTTATTAAGTTCTTAGAAGTAATGATGGAAGTTCCAGAATTTCATTACATGGGCAATCCATAGAAAGTATTGTATAGGAAGTTACAAGTGCTTGTAGCATGTTTTACAGGCTAGAAAGATTAGATGGGTTTATGAAGACAACAATAGCTTACAAAGATTTTTTTTTTTTTTTTTTGCAACAAAAGTTGCAAAAAAAAAAAAAAAAAAAAAGTTTAAAAAAAAGTTTTTTTTTAAAATTGTAATTTTTAACCATTCATTCTTTGATTAAAAGTCAAGTTTAAAAAAACAAACAACTTTTAAACAATTCTTAGTAAAAATAGAAACAGAAAAAAAAAAAGCAATTAAATCTCGGGAAGATTTTTTATTTCATTTTCATAATTTAAAGTAACTTGAAAATAATAATCTTTTAATAAAAGATTTTTAGAAAGACTTTTTATGATAAATTTAAATGCTTGAAACTATTTTAAAAATAGTTTCAAATACATACCTACTAAAAAAAAAGTTAAATATAACATTTAATTTAAACATAATGCGTTTATTTTAAATTATAATTTTTGATTTTATTTAAAGTATGCTCTCTATAATAACTAATTCATAATAACATAAAGTACAAGCCTCATCAGTGTTACTCCAATATGTTCCTTTTCTATACGGAATGGGTAAAACAGAAGGATTAACACATAAGAAACCAACTGGACAAGGTATACAAAACGTAGATCCAGCTTCACTGAAAGAGTCTAAAAATTGAGAAGAACTTATTATGGATAAAATATTAAAATTTTCAATTTACAAAATAAAAAATAATCAACAATGAATATTCAAACAAATAATAATAGTACTAAATAATAAACCCTCAATAATAACATGTCAAAAGTAAAATATAATAAGAAATAAAGAATATAAATAAAAGAAGAAGAAAGACAATATTGCAAAAAAAGCCCTATATAACCCTGTTTCTGTCAAAAGAAACAATGTATTTAAATATTTTTTTTTAATTGTCAGAATATATGAGAAGAATTTAAAACTCTAAAGTTTTCTTTTGATTGTTTATAAACACATATGTTATATAAAATATTTGTTAATTTTTTGTTAATTATTGCTTGATGATGCAATCAATTGTATATACCAGGTCCCAAGAGGAATCTGTCCTTAAATCTTTTTTTTTTTTTTTGTGGCTGATGGTATTCAGAAGCTTTGAAAATGTGAGTGGCATGATTTGCATTAAGAATAAAATTCAGTCCTTGGAGTTTAAAAATTGACTTAAAAATACTAATTTTTCCCTAAAATTAATGCATCAGCCACTTAACATTATTGGGGCACTGGATACAAAAACTGGAAGAAACAATCTTTTTGTTACTATCAAACCTGGAGTCCTTTTTATAAGATTCCTCATTCCTGGTATAAAATGTTTGGTTAATTTTGTGATAAATATTTTATTAATTAATATTACTAATTTTTATCAAAAGAAAGACTTAAAAAACAAAACAACAAAGAAAGTCAGGTATTTTATAAACTCAATAAGTTTTAACTTCTTAAAGATTTTATTTAAAGTTTTTAAAAGTTTTGATTTTATTTAAAGTTTTTATTTTACGCCTTTGCGTAAAATAAAAACTTTAAAAAAGATCAACGATTAAAAGTTATTTGTAATGTAACGATTTTTTTTATTGTTAAAACATCAAAAAACCTGTTGTCAAGTATAATAAAAAGTTGTAAAGTATAATAAAAAAAAAAAAGCATTGTCAGTTGGAAGTTCAAGTCTATTTAAAAAACATGCAATATTTAATTGGAACTATTTTATTAAGAAAAAACAAAAATCAGCGATAAAATATTTTAAATAACTAATAACTAATGTTAAATAAACTTAATAACATGACAAAGATTTCGATTGCATAACATGGTTATATTATAACCATGTTATGCAATCGAAATCATGGTTATATTATAACCATAAATTGTATTTAAAAA